TAACCAGGACATTCATTACTATTGCAACCACACACCACCTTACTGCCCATGAATAAATCACTCAATTTCTTTAGACTTTAATTGTCGTACCTATGAAGATCATACTCCTTGTCCATTCCGTTTTGCAAAATTGTAATAATATTTAAGTGAGAAGGTATATACACAAGTGTACTGGAAGCTATAAAGAACAAATCAGTATGATTTATCCAGTTCTGTGTTCTCAGAAGCCAGCAGAGTGTGTGACATTCTATAAATGTTTGCTGATAAATGGATAAAAAAAAAATCTACCTAATCAGAGTAAATGAAGATACTCAGGTCAGCACCTACATATATCAAACAAATAAAATGTTATTTGGATTTTCACCTGAAGAAATCTTTAAACAGAGATGATTTCAAAACGAGATGGAAACTGTGGTATTCTCAGTTTAGCTGGATATGTCCTTTGATTTATAAAAACACAAGATATTCTCATCCAAAGCTGGGAAAGAGGTGGGCAAGGAGAAAAAGAATGCAATACTAATCAGTAGAGAGATTTTTTTAAAATATAAGCATTTCTTTTTAATAAATTCTATATTTGAAATATAAAAAGCCATCATTTTGTTTCAATGTTACAATCAGATTTGAAGGAGAAGAATACTTTATACTCTGCTGTGGTGCCAAGAATTCTGCATAATGAGCAGACAAAAAGACCGCCCAGCTAAACCTAACACCAAGCTGTTGAACAACACTACATCCCCCTGAAAAATCCTACTCAGCTAGCAGTCATCAAGAGAGAGGGTACTCTTCTCCTGCAGGGAGGGTCTCTTCAGTACTGCCTGAAATCATGAGCTGGGATTCTGAAAACGGTGTGTGGATTCTGAGTATCCGACCCTAGCCAGAATCGACATTGTATCAGGGACCACAGATGTTATAGAAGGGTCCCACTAGGGTAGGCAGCATGTCCAGATAATTCCCGATGTTTTCTCCTGAGGGGAGTTAAGGACTTAGCATTGTTAGCACTTCTGTGACAGCGGTCCTTCCCCAAGCGCTGGTTACTTCTGATGTTCTAGGCACTGGGAGATCTGTTGAAACCACATGGTGAAGTGGTCTTTTCTATTTTCTTTCGTTGAGTGTGTGTGTGTGCACATGCACATTAACTGCTAGTGTGTTGAGTGTGTGTGTGCATGTCCTCCAGTGCCATCCTGGAGTTCACCCATTGGGCCAGGCTGGCTGGCCAGCCAGTCCTGGGAATCCATCAGTCTCTGCCTCCCCAACACTAGGGTAACAAGCACTCACCACTGTCCCCAGCTTTTGTTTTTATAGGTACTGGGCATGAAACTCGGGTCCCCGTGCTTGCAAAGGAAGCATTTAACAATGGAGTTAGCCCAGTTTTTTCAACTTTCTAAAGAGAGGTCCAAGAAGTTTCAGCATCTGGCTGCTATTCTCAGCTGTCTTTATTCCTTGACTTAGCCAAAAACTGCCAGGAGAATTAAAACACAGAGACTCAATTTATGGGGTTTTGTTCCCTGGAAAGCAGAAGATACTTCAGCTCCCTGTGGATAAAACGTCTTGACCTACTTCACAGCTCTGTGGTCATCTCTCAATATCCAGAAGGAACTGGTTCAAATGGATGGACAAAAGCAAACTGGGTGTTTCCTCAGTATAAACCTTGGAGTCCATACTGCCCAGATTCAGAGCCCTAACCACCCGTCACCATAGTGATCCCAAAAAGGTATACAGCCTCGCTCTGTCCCAGTCTCTCATCTGCAAAATGGCACTAATAGGACTACTATACATTAGGCTTACAGTGAATATTCAGTCAGTTAAATTCAGTTGCTTGTGTTTAAGTAAATACCTAAATGTATTAAATTAAAAATTAGATTAAGCTCATTTGGAAGATGAGCTAAGTTAATGAGTTCACAAATAGAACAGTACTAGCACATGATGAAAGCTACGAGTGAGTTTACCATGATGATGGTGGTGATGATGGTGGTGGTGATGATAATGGTACTCATGATGATGGTGGTGAAGGTGATGATCATAGTCATAATTCCTTTTCCTTAATTCATACTCAAAGCACACACAAGCAAAGCACTTCACTGCACAAGATGACTGCATACTAAAACTCAGTAATAAGCATGCTACAAAACAAGGACTCCTAAATGCTAACAACTGAAAATCAACAACCCAGAACCCAACAGCCATATTCCACTCATCATTACCCAGGAAGCTTCCAGGCCAACACCCCATCCCGGTCCCCACCATCACATACTACTCTTTTTCCCTTTCCCAGCATGTCAAGAGGAGATTCCTCCTGTCACCTAAGATAAAACTATGCCCTCTTGCTTTTTTTTTTTTTATCACTGCAATCGACAGGCTGTGGGGGGCAAAGGGGGTAAGTCCCCATCAAGAAAGTCACAAGAAACAACAGTAGAGTCCCTTAGAGGAAGGAAGCCGGTTCCAGGTCTAAATAGAGGCTATGAACAGCACCTCACCAGCCAGGAGAGAGATGAAATGGTGTGAATTAGAGGCTTATATTTCAAAACCAAAGAGACAGAGAGTATAAAAGTCTGCCAAAGTGGATAGGAAGTGCAGTAAGAAAAATATCAACACTCCGTCCAGGAAAGGAAGCACAGATCAGCAGACCGAGTCTGTACAAGGGGAACCCCAGGCCCCTCAGAGCTGCAACAGGCAAAGAGTGGAGACTGCGAAGGCTCTGAGGTACTGCATGTTGTGCAATCAGTGCTGGAGAGTGATTAATCACCCACCATGTGCATGGGGCCCTCTAAGCTGCTTGCAAATTCCAGGCATCTTGGAGAACAAAGTGACAGGGATTTACAACAAGTTGAAGAACTGATGTTTATAGTTCTCAAAAGAGCCCAACAAAAACAAAATTAAACAACACAGCTATGCCAACAGTTACTGCACAACGCCATGTGGGCAGAATTTTTTCAATGCCTCTGTACACGTGTCCTAAACAGGCTAACTCTCCTTCCCAATAACTTAAAAAATAAACATATCTCCCTGATAAAGTCCAGCACCATGAGAGCATCCAGTCTAGAGGTCGCTGACAGAATTATGAAAAATCAAAACAAAATCCCTCGGTCTCAAAGTTTCAGAACTTCCTCAAAGTTGAACTGTTTCTGCTTTGTTCCTGGTGCTGCTCTGCTGTAGGACTTAAATCCTTACCTGCTATCAAATAGTCAATCCGGGAGGAAGACTTCCCCAGGCCACCTGGTGAGGGCAATTTTATCCAGCACACCTATAGCATCTCCCAGAATTGAACAGGGTCTAGAAATGATAACGCGATTCAAGTCATGATTTGTCCTGGGACAGAGCCCATTCCAAGCCTCGGATGTGTTCTTCACGCCCTTCCGAAAGAAAAAAACATCAGAAAGAGACTGCCAGCCGATCGCTCTGGTATAGCAGCGGAAGGAACCCGGCTGCCGCAGCAAGTGACCTTCAGGATCTCGCTGGTATCACACAGTTTCTCCTCAAGTACCAGTCCAGCACAAAGGAAATCAACTGAAAAATCTCAAGAAGTCCTGACCTGTTCTTCTCTCCTGGGAGTTCAGAGGTGGCTTCTCCGAGGTAGCCCTGGACATTAGGGGTTTTTAAGGTTCCCCCTGGGAATTCTAACAAGCAACAAAGTGGAGACTCACTGAGACACAGATAATATGACACCCCACTTCTTACCATTTGGACCTGTATTTAGCTCCAAAGGGCCTAAACAAGAAAGCTCTCAGTGACTAAAGCTCAATATGACATTTTAAAAGTTCAGGGAAAGAAGGTCATCTAACCAAATCTATTGCGTGAGTCTCCGGGTTAACTCAGGGTCCTATTTGTGGATGAGCCCAGATGTCATCCTTCCTGTCCTGGGTCTCACTCGGGGGTCCACCATGGTCTCCAGCAGGGCTAGAGATCCACCTGATGTTCATTCACTCGTGAGTGTGTGATCATCAGAAAGCAGTGAGGATGGCGTTGACTCTGACACTGGATTTGGTGCCGGGTTAGTCATCCAAGGTACAACTCTAGCATGTGTCAAGTTGGGGGTGGGGGGTGGGGCTTAACTAGCATAGCTTCCTCAGTTCTCTGCCTCAGTTTCTGTATCTGTGAACCTAGGGGAACACCCTCTACTATTTTACCAAGTATCGAGAGAATCAAGCAAGCCAGTTCACTGAGGGGACTGGAACAGGGCCTAGCAGGTGGTGACTTTTCAGTATGTTCATTGTTATTTTCTTCTTTTCAAGCCTGGGTTTCTGCTCCAGGCTTCATGGGATACAGAAAAGAGGAGCACTGTCCCACTGCTCTCAAGATATTCACAACTAGCATAGGAGAGAGACAGACAGGTGGAATGCAATATATATGACTGGGCTTTTGTGACATGGTGTACAAAATTCAAAAGGAACAGGAGAGAAAGTCTTCCTGGAAGAGGCAGCCTTAGACTCAGCCTTAGACGACTAGGTTAGACGAACGGGCTCAGTCACTCGCTGCTTGAATAACCTTGAAGAGGAAAAAAAAAGGCAATTGAAAACCCAACTGTTGGCACCAACATGAATTCTGACAGCCACAGGTGGATGAGGACATCACCATCTTCCAAGGCAGGGACCAGACTTCTGGAACATTCTCTCCATGCTTGGGACTATGCACAGTGATGGGCACTCCCACAAATGCTCCCTACAGAAAATCTGAACCTTTATGTTGGAAAGACAGGCCCAGGATGACCCCCCAGCGTGGTGTGGAAAGGGCAGCGGGCAGCGGGCACAGCCATAGGAAGGGAAACCATCCATCTCTCAGAAATCCCAGTCAGGTCTCTGCCTGGGCCCCGTCAGGAAATCCTGTCACTCAGCCAGGACTTATATACAGCTCAGAGTAGCCGATCCCACTGCGTATAGTCACCAGGCCTCCTCCACCTTCCCTTTCTAACCAGGGAAAAGAAAGGATTTAAAAGCAGACACAGACATGAGAAAGAATTCCCCAGGCACTCATCAAAGCAAGTTAAAATAGCTAAATCACCTGGCATGGGAAGGAGCAAGCTTTTCCTCAGCATGCTGCCGCCTTTAATCCCTCTCTTCCTGGGGCTGGTTGTGCAAAACACCTTGCCCCCTGCTGAAGCCGCAGGACTGGTAAGATCAATTTTTCTGTGATTTTCCTTGCTAACTTTCACAATGTTCTCTAGATGTCTTTGTTTTCCCACATCATCTTGGGCGAAAAGCCCTGCCTGGACTTGATAAACAAGAATAAGAGCCTAATCTGAGATGCTGTCCTTGTGGGGTGGGCTGAGTTGGCCATTTCTTGCTGGCTGTGCTGATTCTGCGGCTGACATTTCTCTTTCCTGGCAGAGTTGCATGTTCTGGGTTTGTCTGGATCGTCTGATCACTGTGGGTACCTACCATCCCATCTTCCCAAATGCAGAAACCAAGTGAGCCTGTGGGAAGATGACCAGGGGAATTCCAGGGTACATTGATGATGCCTTGTTGACGAAAACAAGCATCAGTAACATTTCCAAAACCCGTCAGGCCCTCACACATGCTTCCTGCCTTCCTCAGGCTGTAGTGGAGGACCATGGTGACCTTTCTTTGGGTCTCATTCACTGCATCATTATAAGGACCCCAGAGAAGCTCACACAGGTCCCATCGCAGAATGAGGTTGAATCTCAGTGAGCAGCAATCTCAGGTGATTGAAGATGGATTTGGAGTGTCTGGTCTCAGCAGCAGACAGCTGCTGCTGAAGTCAGTCCGCTCCAGCTGTGCTCTCAGGGCACTTTCCTGAGAACATGGCAGATACCCCGATGGGTACCTCTCCAGCCCAGATGCTGGAGAGGGGTACATTTGATCTGCGACTGCGCAGTGTTTCAGAGGCGGGGCCTCAGGGCGGTCCACTACACTAGCGTTAAGCAAGTGAGTTAACCCCTCCAAGCTCCCATTGCTCCCAAGACAGGGTTCTGCACATGGCAGGTAGGGATTGCTGTCACCACTCACTTCAGCATGGAGGACTTGTTTCTGGGCAGGCACTCAGCCTTGAGCACTGTTCAAAGTTGAGTTTGTTCTTCGGTAGGCTCAAACTTATAAAATGAGTCATTCCATTTGAAGACAGTAATTTGAAAGCCGGACAAATATATACAGTCATTGTAAACTTGCTATGTAGCTGAGGATGTCTGATCTTCCCGCCTTTACCTCTTGAGTGATAGAATTCTAGACCTGCACCACAAACTCATGATGTTATGCAGTACTGGGGATTGAACCCGGGGCTTTGTGCATGCTGGGCAAGTACTCTATGAGCTGAGCCACAACCCCAGCCCAAAGAATTTCTTTAAAAGAGAGTTAAATTGGGCATATTAAGAAGGAAAATCAACATGACATCAATTTATCCATCTATCCAAAAAGAAACTCCAGGGTAAATAAATGAAAGCCTGCTCTTAGAAAACTTGAATCATGCCCCAACAGTTAAAGGGAGTGTTGCATTATTCTACAAGTTATGTCCAAGGGCACACTGGCTCACGATGATCACCAAACGAAAGAGTCTAGTAAAAGTAGAGGTTGTTTTCTCTGTGCCGCTTGGGGACTGTAGAAAAGGCTAATTAAGGAATCAAGAGGCTGATAGCTGGTATGTGACTTTGGGCAGGTCACTGCATATTCCAAATTATCTTCAGTCCTCACCTCCACCACCTCTGTAACAAGAGTCGTGACCCTTGCCCTACTCTCTGAAGCAATAAGAATGACACGTTTGGGAGTCAGCACAGCCATATGGTGTCCTGTGAATGGAAGGTGTCCTCCTCTGCAGACCTACACGTGAACTCAGAGGTGATGATGATGTTTCCATCACATCTAACCAGTGCTGGGCTGCTAGGATGACAAAGAAATATGAGACACGGCCCTGTACTATCTGGAATTCTTAAATAGAGAGCAAATGTGCCCCCTTGGATATTACTTCTAGAGTGTTCTGTTTTGCACCAGTCTGTGGAAGAAAATGATCATGCCTGGATGAATTTCAGATTTAGCCTAACAGCAGAGGAGTCAGCTTCTGATGAAATAACTGCCTGTTTATATATATGTATATATATATATATATGTATGTATATGTGTATATATATATATATAATTATTGTTCACAATTTGCACCTCTTAGCAAGTCAGTTTCCACATACCAAAACCTCTTAACTGAAGTTATTTAAAGGAAACCATTTACCCAAGCAATTCTCAGCTAGAGACATCTTGGTTTTCCAAGTCCTTTCACAACTAAGCAGACTAAGCAGAGGCTCTGGATCCTTCAGGAAGAACCCAGATAAGAATCAAACGTTTCAAACAAAAGGTAGCAATCACAAAAGGCAGTTCAAAGCCGAAGTGCTAACACTCTGGAATTCAAGCCAGATGCACTGCTCTGCGGGATCTCTCGCTAAACAGCCCGTTGATACCAATCATCCTCATTGCCATTCCTGGCTTTAGGGAAGTGAGGCAGGTAGACAAGGATTCCTGCCAGATACTTTCAAGGCTCTGATTAACAGGAATGCGTGCTCTTTGCTGTATTTGCACAGGCAAAAAGGTGTGACAAGAAGTCTTTTCTAACGATCAGGACCGAGTGCCAAGCCTGCTCGATTAACATTGCAGCCAAGTGTCCAGACGGTTACACCAAGATTACCAATGACACTTTTGGAGTTCGAGATTGCAGGTACTTATTATGAGAAGATGAATGTGTTCATGTTTTGGTACCCTAAGAACTGTGACTCCAAACTGGAACATCCTGTCTCAAACATTGCAAAGTAGTTCCAGGATTTATCTCTTACTCTAAGACTATACTGAGCCCAAACTTAGGTAACTCACAATCTATAGAATTGAGTCTAAATCTTTCTGACTATTGACTCACATTTAAATACAAACTTCTATTGTACATAAACACTCTCCTTCCTCTTTCCCTTCTATTTTTTTCAACTGGAGTCTTGTTTCATTTTAAAATGGTTCTAGACCTGGGGAGATGGCTCAGTGGATATGTGAGTATGAGAACCTGAGGTCAGATCCCCAGCACCCACCTAAGAAAACAGGTGAAGCTCCGGAAGCCTGTGACCCAGCACTGAGAGCTAGAGAAAGATGGGTCCCTGGACGGTCTGCCAGCCTAGCCCAAATGGCAAGTTTCCAGGTCGGTGAGAGACCTTCTCTCAAGGAGACAAGGTGGAAAGTAACAGAAGAAAACACCTGACATCCTGCCCTGGCCTCTATCCATGAGCATAAGCATACATACCTGCTCACTCATATGCACGCAACACACACACACACACAACATACACACACACACACACACACACACACACACACACACACACACACACACCATAGATGGATGGATGGATGGATAGATAGATAGATAGAAAGAAAGAAAGAAAGAAAGAAAGAAAGAAAGAAAGAAAGAAAGAAAGAAAGAATAGGGTTCTAATTTGAACATATTAAAAAAAAAACTGTAGGTTGCCTTGACTACATTTTAAGATTCTGTCTCAAAAGTAAAATAAATTTGCTAAGCCTTGGGTCTGGTATTTATTTTGCTAATAAGCTGTGGAACCTGATACTAATTAGAACCCAAAGATGTAGGATAGAAAACTTTTAGCATTGTTGGATTACCTGTCCAACAATGGTCACTTCTTAAAGGTCACTTCTGATCCAGAACTCTCATAATTCAAGACTGGTCCTCTCAAAAGGGGACAAGTGGGTCTGCACTCCTACTAACAGGTGTAGGCTCAAAGGCAAACACAATTTGTTATTTATTCAGCTAACCAATTTAGAAATTGGGCATTGTGCAATGAATTAAGTTTTAATTTATGAATTATATACATGTGTACAAGTTTGTGGATATTTATGTGGTCTTTTGTGTGTGTGTGTGTGTGTGTGTGTGTGTGTGTGTGTGTGTGTGTGTGTGTGGTTCATTCACGTGTGAGGACAGAGGTTGACAATGGATATGTTCCTCAACCACTGTCCATCTTACCTGTTGAGACAAGGTCTCTCTGAAGCTGGAGCTCACTGATTCAGCTGGAAGAGCTGTCCAGAGAACTCTGGGAAGCCTCTGGTCTCTGTTGCTCCAGGCTACGGCTACCGGAGGGCACCACGATGCCCAGCTTTTTATGTGGGTACTGGGCATCCAGCCTCAGGTCCTCATGCTTGCACAGCAGACACTTTACCAACTGAGCTGTCCCCCAGCCGAAATGAGTTCATTTTTAATTCAAGAATGACAAATTACTATTTTTTTTTTTTTTTGGTTTTTCGAGACAGGGTTTCTCTGTGTAGCTTTGCGCCTTTTCCTGGAACTCACTTGGTAGCCCAGGCTGGCCTCGAACTCACAGAGATCCGCCTGGCTCTGCCTCCCGAGTGCTGGGATTAAAGGCGTGCGCCACCACCGCCCGGCTCAAATTACTATTTTTAACATGAATGAAATGAAACCTTAGCATTGTTTTATAACAATATTTTACGTTCACAATTGCCTAGTATGATCATATCATTTTATGAACCAAAGTTTCTCAATATTAAGTGGTCTAGAATTAGCAAGTACATGCATCAGTTAACCAATGAATCACTGAGTGAGAATACATTTGCTGTGGCTCTCGTTTTTTTATTAAGATCATATCAAAGTTCAAGGTTAAACTTATATGGCTTCTTACTAAGAATGTTTTGTATTATTTTGATAAGGGCCAAGATGAGCACTGGGTTGTATGTACCCCAGCTACTATTACTGCTACCTCTACTACTACTACTACTATTACACACACACACACACACACACACACACACACACACACACACACACACACTAAAATTTTTCATGGATACTGCTCGTTTTAAAATGGAAGACTGGTCTGTCATTCATTTATGCTAAAACAAACAAGCAAAAACAAAACCTGATTGGTTCTTTTGTTTTATTTTACTGTGTATTTTTGATGTTTCAAGAAATTGCATTATAGAGGTGTGATTAACATAAAAGATTGAACCTGTTTAATGCATATAATTCAATGCACTTAGAGATCAGTACACCTGCAACCCCATGTCCACTAGTTCCCCATCAACACACCCACAGCTTCCATCTGTTTTACTGCGTCCTCTTTTTCTCCTTGACAAGAACACTAACCCACAATCCCCCATCTTTGCAAACGGTAAGCATACAGTTTCAAGTAAACATGATTGTTAGCTACAGGCATAGACTTCACAATAGACTTCCAGAACTTTCATAACCAGAGCTTTGTGCCCTCTGACAAATACCTCACTTCTCAACTCATTTAACCCCCAACAACCACTTCATGCTCTGCTGCTATCCATTTACCCATCTGAGCTTCCTTGTGTCGGTAGGATCAGGTAGGATTTGCCTTTCTGTGTTTGGCCTTTTTCTCTTAGTATGCTACCACCAAGTTAATCCATGTTGCTTATGAATTGCATAATCTCAGAGCTGGAGAGATGGTTCCACAGTCAAGAGTACCGACTGCTCTCCCAGAGGGACTAGGTTCAACTCCTAGCACCCATGTGGTGGTTCACAACTGTATGTAATTCCTGTTCCGAAAGATCTGATGTCTTCTTCTGGCCTCCATGGGCACCGCACACACATAGTGCAAAGCACTCACACACACACAAAAAAAAATAAAGACAAAATTTAAAAAAACAAATTGCGCCAGGCGGTGGTGGCGCACGCCTTTAATCCCAGCACTCGGGAGGCAGAGCCAGGCGGATCTCTGTGAGCTCGAGGCCAGCCTGGACTACCAAGTGAGTTCCAGGAAAGGTGCAAAGCTACACAGAGAAACCCTGTCTCGAAAAACCAAAAAAAAAAAAAATTGCATGATTTCCTATCTTAAAGCTAACTAATATTCCACTGCATATGCAGTGTTCAATATTCTCTGTGACATATGCATGGTTTTTTCTTTATCCATTCATCCATCAGTGAAAGCTTAGAATGTTGTGGCTATTATGAATAATGCTATAATTAAGATGGAAATATAAACTATATATGTATACACACACATATATATGTATGTATGTATACATGTATATGTATATATGAAATCTTCATATCATTTACCCGACTATATTCTCAGATGTAGGGTTGATAGGTCATATGACAGCTATATTTTTAATATTTTGAAGAGCTGTTTTACACAGTGGCTGCACTGACTGACATTCCTATCAACACTGAACAATTCTCTTTTCTCCATATCCACCAGTATTTGCATTAGGCAGCCTTAGACAAAATTCACCTAATGGGTGTGAGATCACATTCATTGTGGTTTCAGATAGAGTCTTCTGGGTTATAGATACACGTTCATACATTCGTGGGCTCCATTTTTGTCCTCTGAGAAGTTAAGGCCTTCAACTCTGCTGTGAGTTCCCTCTGTCCCCTTCCTGTAGAGATATCCCTGCTGGCATAGTCAACCTTTCAGAGACTGTCAGTGCCATCCCTGACTTAACTATGCACACAGCAGATGTCTGCTGTTTGTTGGTCAGCTGCATTTTAGGAACTGCTCAGGAAAAACCTTCCCCCACCCTGATCTTTTGTATTTGGGGTTTTTTTTTTATTTGTTTTTATTTTATGTATCTTGCTGGCATGGATGTCTGTGCACCATGTACTTACAATACCACCTCCAAAGGCTAGAAGACAGTGTCAGATCCCCTGGAACTGGAATTACAGATGGTTATGAGCCACATTGTTGGTGCTGGGAACTTAACCTGGGTCCTCTGGAAGAGCAGCAAGCACTTTTAACTGCTGAGTTAACATTCCAACACACATACACACACACACACACACACACACACACACACACACACACACACACACACACACGCTATTCTCAACAACAGCGCAGGTGAAAGACGAAAGAGACCTTATTCATTAAAGATGGTCTCCACCCTGAAGTCTTATCCTAGAATGAGTCTAGAATGAGTCTTATCCTAGAAGGTAACCGTCAGGCTCCATAGAGTTGTAGTCTAGAGCGGTTCCTCACTTGCTGCTAGAAATTGTTCGAAGGGATGTACCAGAGTGTCTCCTGCACAGGTGGTGGAGTGCACGTCACTAACTACACTGTAGCATCTCAGCGGCAGAATTTCTTTTTAGAAATGGTGTCCGCGATGAATGTGCTAATCTGAAGAACGAGGTTTACGTTCAATCTGCAGACCCTTGTGTATCATATAACTCGTTACCCTTCCCTTCTTGAACAGGCTGATAGAAGGCTCAGCAGCAGATTGAGGGCCACTTCTCGACTCTTCCAAGACGTATTATCATCATTCATTTTATTTAATAACTTCTGATAACAGTGTATCTACCCCCTGTGTGCTGGCTCATTTTTTTTGTCAACATGGCACAAACTAGAGCCACCTTGAAGGAGAGGACCTCAGCTGAGAAATTTCCTCCATCAGGTTGGCCTGAGGACATGTCTATGGGGCATTTTCTTGATTGATGACTGATGATGTAGGACTCAGCCCCTTGTAGGTAGTACCACCCCTGGGCCAGTGGTCCTGGGTTGTGTAAGAAATCAGACTGAGCAAGCCAGTAAGCAGCATTCCTCCATGGTCTCTGCTTCAGTTTCTGCCCTGATTTGCCTCAGTGGTGGACTGAGAAGTGTGTCAGCCAAATCGACCCCTTTACTCCCCCAAGGTGCTTTGGATCATGTTGTTTATCATAGCAATAGATAAACAACTAGATAGCAGTAGATAAACAACTAGACAGCAATAGATAAACAACTAGACAGCAATAGAAAAACCAACTAGCAAAAGCAAACTAGAACACCCTTCATTTTCATTGTTTCTTAATTTTTATTTGGCCATCTATAACAATTAAGAATAATTCATGATTAAGCTTATTCTACCTAGCAAGCTAAATTGAGTGTGTGTGTGTGTGTGTGTGTGTGTGTGTGTGTGTGTATGTGTGTGTGTGTGTGTGTGTGTGTGTGTGTGTGTGTGTGTGTGTATTAAAAGCCTAAATTAAAATCTAGGACTTAGCATGGATAAGATGGTACCATGAGTAAAAGCGCTTGCCATACAAGCCTGATGGTCTGAATCTGATCCTCAGAACCTATATCATCCTCTGACCTCTACATGCATTCATGCTCTAGCAAATGTACACACCACACACACACACACACACACACACACACACACACACACCATATACATATAACAACAAATTAATTGAATAAATAAATAAATAATAAAATCTAGGACAACCCCACCACCTAAAGTTAATTCTACTCTTATGGTCATGAGTTCACATCCTCTCTTTGTTCTCCAAGGTACTCGCTTGAGATCAGAACATACTCCCTGTCTGTCCCTGGATGCCGCCATATATGTAGGAAGGACTACCTACAACCTCAATGTTGTCCAGGCCACTGGGGCCCAGACTGCATGGGTAAGTGATACAATCTTTGGATTTTGAAACTTGCTTTTCCAATTCCCAAGAAATATGATAGGAAGGAAATCCAGTGAAAGAAGAATGTGAGTATGATTTTTTTTTTTTTTTTTGGTTTTTCGAGACAGGGTTTCTCTGTGTAGCTTTGCGCCTTTCCTGGAACTCCCTTGGTAGTCCAGGCTGACCTCGAACTCACAGAGATCCGCCTGGCTCTGCCTCCCGAGTGCTGGGATTAAAGGCGTGCGCCACCACGGCCCGGCTTTTTTTTTTTTTTTTTTTTTTTTTTTTTTTTTTTTTTTTTTTTTTTTTTTTTTTTTTTTTTTTTTTTTTTTTTTTTTTTTTTTTTTTGTGAGTATGATTTTTAAGAAGCTGGCATTTCATTTATATGTAGAAAATCCCTCTTTCCCCATTAACTTTTATATAGGAATCTGCTTGCTACAGTTAGTGATCTCTCCTCAAAAGAATTCCTTGGAACCAAGCCTATTCCTATAGCTCTAGTACTTGGGAGGCTGAGGCAGGAGAATCATGATTTCAAGGCTAACCTGGGTTGCAAAGCAAATTTTAGACCAACCTAGGATATATAGCAAGACCCTGTCTCCAAAGAAAAAAAGGAGAGGATGAAAGAACAAAAGAAAAAAAAGACCTTTTGTAAGTCATAAAAATATGCAATTTGCCGGGCGGTGGTGGCGCACGCCTTTAATCCCAGCACTCGGGAGGCAGAGCCAGGCGGATCTCTGTGAGTTCGAGGCCAGCCTGGACTACCAAGTGAGTTCCAGGAAAGGCGCAAAGCTACACAGAGAAACCCTGTCTCGAAAAACCAAAAAAAAAAAAAAAAAAAAAAAAAAAAAAAAAAAAATATGCAATTGGGAGAATATATCATACACATGTGTATAATGGAGATCATATGTTTATGTGTATATATGACATATATGTATGTATGTGTATATATAAAAAAGTAATGTCCAAAGAAAGAACATTGGACATTTGTAACACCAAAATAACTTTTCTTATCACAAATTCTCAAAGACTGTTGTTATTGTCTTTATCCATATCATAAACAATCACAAAACATTTTAAAATTTTACATCTAAAAACTTTATATGTCAAAAACTATAATGTTGACTTTAAAAGACATACTGTGATAAACTGTAAAGGTAATGGTATGTGGAGTTATATGAAATCGTATACATGCTGTTGAAGTATCTTGGTTGGTTGGTTGGTTGGTTGGTCAGTCGGTTGGTTGGTCAGTCAGTTGGTTGGTTTGTTGGTTGGTTGGTTGATTTCATTCATCAGCTTGATTCAAGCTAGAGCCATCTGGAAAAAGTGAGTCTCAATTGAGAAAATGCCTTCAACAGATTGGCCTACTTATAGGCAAGTCTATGGGGAATTTTCTTGACTGAGAATTTATGTGAGAGGGTCCAGCCTACTATGGGCAGTGCTGCTCTGGACAGGTGATACTGGGGGCGGGGGGGTACAGAAAAGCAGGCTGAGTATGGAAAGGCAAGCGAGGCAGCAAGCAGCACTCTTCCATGGTCTCGGCTTCAATTCCTTCCTCCAGGTTCCTGCCTTCACTTCCTTGGGTGATGAGCTGTGACACAGAAGTGTAAACCAAATAACCGTTCCTTTTGCCAATTTGCTTTGTGTTATGTTCATCACAGCACTAGAGAGCTAGCTAGCCCAGCATATATGCATAAAAATTAACTGCAACCAGGTTGCACTGGAGGAAGTCCTAGTCAACGATAAACCCAGGCTTCTGAGACCCATCACAACATTTGCTGGCTGAAACTGATTATAGATGTCCATACCCAAATATTTATTGACTGGATCTTTTCTGTGGTATGCAAATTATATGGGCCCCTCCCCATTGGGGGTGGTCAAAAATCTGAAAATTTTAGTTCATGGATTAGCCACTTGTTCCCTCACTTCTAAGCCAGTATGGAAATATCCCCCTGGGATTCACAAGGAGGCGTGTTCTCCTCTGCTTTGTCTCTGCCTGACTAAATAACTGTGCGTGGCCTCTGAAGTTCAGAAAGGCCTTCCCAAAGACAAAGGGAAAGATGGCAACTCACACACTGGCACACAGAGACTCTAAGTGTCCAGGTTAATTTTGATCTTGATGTTTTTCTACCCACCTTCTAAATACGTGAGCTCATTTTATATACAAAACTGTGTCTTCTGTTTGTTTTCCTATGACTAATGACTAAATGAATAATGGCTTCCACTCCGCCCACATTACTGGCATTAGGTATAGGGATGCCCTTGACTGTCCATCACCTGATGTGACTTCTGAATATTCCCATCTGACTAGGAAGACTCAGGTATTTGAAGAGCGTGTCTTCCCAGTTTCCCTGTGGTATGCTAAGTGATGCAGCAGGCACCAAAGGCTACTGTATTTCTCTCTTGTCCTCTACCTAGAGCCGAGCTTGTCAAGGAAAGAGGAGGGGAGAAGAAGCTGCGGTGTCTCTGACTCCTCTCGTGGTGTCTTCACCTTCCCTAGCCAAGGCCTGGAGCGTGTTTCTTGCCCTGGGAAGATAAAGTTTTGGGATTTAGACATCCTGACCATTCCAGTCATTGCTCTATTCCAACCTTACTCTGTATTCTGGTTTCATTTCTGTTACCATGACAAAATACTCCGACAAAAAAGCAACTTGGGGGATAAAGGGGCTTACTTCATCTTAAAATTTCCGATTACATCCATCATTGTGGGGAAGTCAAGGCAGGAACTTCACAGAGTTAATCAAACAAACAGTCGAGAGCAAAAAGGAAGAAATACTTGTTCCCTCACTTCTAAGCCAGTATGGAAATATCCCCCTGGGATTCACAAGCATGCTTGCTCATGCTCAGCTTGATTTCCTCCCTCTTAGACAGTTCATGATCCCCTGCTTAGGGAATAGTGTCCCCCACACTGTGCGGGTCTTTGATTAACTTAAGACAATGCCCCCACCACCACAGACAAATCCAAAGGTCGGTGGACAATCCCTCACTGATGCTCTCTTCCCAGGTGATTCTAAGTTATGGTTATGTCAAGTTGCTAAACATCACACCTGCCTGCAGTACTGCATACTTCTGTGACTCTAGTGTACCAGACCCAAGTGCTGAACTCAGTTATCTTTACTGTAGCTCCCGTGCTTTCAGAGTTCAAGGATGGCTTTTGGTGCCAAACATATTCATGACTGCATCCACTTCTCATAGCCTTCCTGATAGACTAGAAAGAGAGTTTACGTTTGCTTTTATCTTTCTAGCTCACAAAAAAATTAAATGATGCAGTTATTGGCCTGACATAGCATAACAAGAGCAAGCTATTTTCTGAGATGCATTAGGAAAGTTAGTGTGTCCACTAGAAAGAATGACATACTACACCCAGCCTATGTGAGAGCATATTTCTCTGAGCCTTTTATTAACCATGGATATCATCTAAAACATGAGCTGCAAACAGGACTCAAATTCTTAGCAGTCGTCCTCACCACGCTATGCCATGTGTTAGCAGATATGGCAAGGTTCTCCCCTGGGATCATCAGTGCTAAAAAGGATTTTTTTTTTTTTAATGCTCAGGCATTTCCTCTCAGAGCAGGCTCATGGTCAGAGAGGCAAAACATGAAAATGGATGCCTGACATCAATTCTGTTGTTTGCTAGTGAGGTCAAAGGGTGCTTCCCTTTATCTCCATGCTGCAAACATTCCAAGCTTCCTTCCTTCAGCTCAGGAAGAAGATAAACCCTTCCTTGGCTGCCTGCCTTACCGTGCCCACTTTGTGGCCATGACAAGTCTGGTCTTGACTATCGCTTTACGTTTCCGCAAGGACAAGGCCAGCTCAGGACTGCTGACACGGGTCCATCCCTCTATTCTGAGGAAGCATGTTCCCATCCTCCCCATGACCTCGCATTGGAGGCGGATGGGGTACCAGCTTCCTTTACGGTGTGACAACAAGCACATCCGTCTACAGCATCTCTGGCTCACTGTGAGAAGTACTTCTACAATGTCTGATTCTGGAGATAGCGGATCAATCCTGAAAACTCAGAAAACACCAAAAGCAAAATGGAAAAAAACGAATTACCCATCATCTTCTAAAAATAAGAACAAGGCATGCATTCTCACTGAGGGGAAAATAGCTTCCTAACAGAGGGAAGATGTTTTTACTTCAATTTAATCTGACTCACTCTAATTAAAATTACTGCCTCTTTTTCAAGCATGCATATAGAGAAACATATTTTTGACTAAGCAACTTAATCACATTTGAACAGAATTTTGCTCTGCAGCACAGGCTGTCCCAGACCTCACTATGTAGCCCAGACTGGCCTTGAAGCCCAGGCAAACTTCTTGCCTCAGCCTCCAGATTGGTCAGGTTACAGACATGCTCCACCACGTTTGGCACTGAGTAGCCAACACCCTACTTGAGATGAAACTCGCTGTTTTTCATTTACACATTCTTTTTTTTTTATTTAGTCGTGAATGCAAAGTAACAGAGTCAGAACGTGTGCAAAGGAGTCACACATACTAAAGCTCACTTGTGATCCTAGTAGTCCATTTCAAAGAGAAATTGCCTTCTTAAGACTTAGTTAGTTGTATGTGTATGTGTGTTTGTGTTAGAATTAATGCCCACCACATGCATGTAGTGTCCACAGAGGCCAGAAGAGGGTGTTGGATCCCTCTCTGGAACTGGAGTTACCGGTTGTTGTGAGCCACCAGATATGGGTTCTGAGAACAGAACCCAGGTCCTCCATAGGAGCAGTCAGCTCTCTTAGCCACCGAGCCATCTCTTCGGCCCCTAAAGGAGAAATGATCTGCATTTTTTCTTTCCAGCTCGATGTTGCTACATTCGGTGCTGTTTTCGGTGGTATATTTTGTGCAGTGTTATTTGCATTCCCTAGCTCTCCCTTCCCACTTTATACGGCTTGCTGGGCACCACACATTTCACAAACACATAACGAATCTATGGATCGAGAGCCAATTTGTATGAGCTTTGAGGGATAAACTATTCGGAGTTCACACGAGGAACTTAGC